TGTGTATGCATGTATTGCCTGCCTGTAGGTAAGTGCACCCGTGTCATGCAAGGCCCTTGGAGGACAGAAGAGACCGTCGGATCCCCTGGAACTGGAGTTTCAGACAGTTGTTAGCAGCCATGTGGGTGCTGGTATTTGAACCCGGGTCTTCTGCAAGAACAGCCAGTGTTTTTAACCGTTGAGCCATCTCTCCAGCCCCAGAAGCTATGTTTTTTTTTTTTTTTTGTCTTTGAGACAGGGTCTCCCTGTAGTCCCAGCTGACCTGAACTCACTATGTAGACCAGGCCTTGAACTCACAAAGATCCACCTGCCTCTGCCTCCCAAGTGCTAGGACTAAAGGCATGTACCACCATGCCCGGCAAAGCTATGTGTTGTTGATCACTTGTCTTGATGCTGGAGTGTAAGGGCAAGAATATGGGACCTAGATGAACTATAGTCCCTGTTTTTTGAGACAGGATCTCCCTGTAGCCCCAGCTGTCCTGGAACTCACTATTTTTTTAAAAAAATATTTTATTAGCCGGGCAGGCAGATGTCTGTGAGACTGGTCTACATAGTGAGTTCCAGGACAGCTGGGGCTACAGGGAGACCCTGTCACAAAAAGACCAAAAATAAACAAACAAAAATGTATTATTTTATGTGTATGAGTGTTATGCCTGCATGTAGATAAGTGCACCCATGTCATGCAATGCCTGCAGAGGTCAAAAGAGGCTGTCGGATCCCCTAGAACTGGAGTTATGGACAGTTGCTAGCTGCCATGTGGGTGCTGAGATTCAAACCCATGTCTTCTGCAAGAACAGTCAGTTTTCCCAACTGCTGAGCCATCTCTCCAGCCACTAAAAGCTATGTTTTACTGTTATAAATATAGTTACAATTTTGGACATAAAACATATATTTCGTGTGTATTACACATAAATACAAATTTATTCCACATCTGAACACTTTTTTTTTTTTTTTTTTTTGGTCTTTTTGAGACAGGGTCTCCTTGTAGCCCCAGCTGTCCTGGAACTATGTAGAACAGGCTGGCCTTGAACTCACAGAGATCCGCCTGCCTCTGCCTCCCAAGTGCTGAGATTATTTAACCTTTAAAATGTAATACATTCATTTCTTAAATTTTGAATATAGTATAGGTTTATGGTTGTGAGCCATCTGTTCTCAAGACCAACAAGATGGATATAGAATTTGTCATAGATTTATTTTTTAGAATAAGACTACTATATACAATTATGTGGTGAGCCTACATTACAAAGAATGTATCTACGAGCACAGGGTATATATAATTATACTTTGTCTATATCCAAAAATGATTTGATGTAGATAATACATTTGATTATTTGGGGCTGTGGGTGTGTGTGTGTGTGTGTGCGCATGCACAGGTGCATCTGCATGTGTGGAATGTGCATGTGTACCTGTGGAGGCCAGAGGTCAGCCTTGGGTGTCAGTCCTCAGGAACCATCTACCTCTTTTGTTTGCTTATTTATTTTTCATTTATATATTGGGGGGGGGGGCTTGTATGTGGCAATCAGAGATTGGGTTCTCGCCTTCCACCTTTACATGGGTTCTGGGTCTTGAACTCGGGACATCAGGCTTGGTAGCAAGGGCCTTTCTTTACTCACTGAGACATCTCTCTGGCACATTTGCCTCTGTCTAGGAATTTATATTTTTAAATATTTTTAAGACATAAGGTTCCTCACTGTCCTAAAGCTCACCAAGTGGGCGAGGCTAGCCAAAAGGAGCCTGTTCTCACCTGTGCATCCCACCACAGCTGGCTTTTGTATATGGGTCCTGGGGACCAAACTCAGGTCCTCATGCTTGCATGGCAAGCACTTTATCAACTGAGCCAGCTCCACAGCCCCTACATTTATATTTTAGATAACTTTTGCAACAGACTCTTGAATATGAACTTGAAAATGAAAATTACGTTTTACAGACTTAAAATGTTGATGTTCTAATGCTGCTTATTTAAAAAAAAAAAAAAAAAAAAAAAAAGATTTCTGGGCTGGAGAGATGGTCAGCAGTTAAGAGCACTGACTGCTCTTGCAAAGGACCCAAGTTCGATTCCCAGCACCACATGGTGGCCATAAACCATCCTTAACTCCAGCTCCAGGGGAATCCGATGCCCTCTTCTGACATCCACAGCATTGCACAACGTGGGTGCACTCACATACATACAGGCAATACACTCATACACATAAAATAAAAATAATAAATAAAATATTTTTTAAAAAAAGATTTCTAAGTGGGCAACCAAGTGCATTAGAACAAGATGGTCAGATTCAAGAAGAGTGTGGTAAAACTGCTGATTTTCCACAGCTGTCCTGAAGGCTGTAAAAATGCTACTTAGATTTTTCTATACTGCCTATAATCCAAGTTATTAAACTTTAAAACATATGAAAGCACTCAGGAAGATCCTGAATTGTATTTCTCATTAAAGAAAAAGAGTGTGAGTCATGTCCCTAGACTGACTCAGGCAGAGGAGGAAGCAGAAGGCCACTGTGAAAGTTAGAACTTGGCACTTAGCAGGGATTTATATCCAGCTAAGACTATGCCTCAGTTTTCCAGGCGCGTGTTCTTCTGAACAGCCTGAAGGCAGTGAGAACCCAGGACTTCTGATCTTCTAAACAAAAATCGTTATCAAATGAATTTATTAAAGAGCTATGCAGAACAACATGTGTGTGGCCACAGTTGGCGTCTAGAGTAATTATAAATGGCTCGCTGAGGGCACTTTCAATTGATTCTGAGTAAAACAATCTGAGGCTTGTTACAAAGGCACAAAAACTAAAATCAATGAGCAACTCTGATAGGAAAAACTTGTTCTTTCTTTTTGAGGCAGGGGGTCTACAAGCCCTGGGTGACCTGAAACTTACTTTGTAGATCAGGCTGGCCTTGAACTTAAGAGTTCCATTTGCCTCTGTCTAGGAATGCTGGGACCAAAGGTGTGACCTCCACATCCAACCTCCTATTTGCATTCTAATGTTTGCTTGGAAAGTATATTTACTGCTTTATAAAGCTGCTTAAAATTCCAGCATTTCCAACTAAAAGAATAAAATGCAGGCTCTTGGGCAAATGCCTGTAAATAAAAGAAGAAAAGTCATGGGGGACACTTCTGTACTAGCTTTGTTTTGGTCTTTTTTGAGACAGTGTCTCCCTTTAGCCCCAGCTGGCCTGGAACTCGCTATGTAGACCAGGCTGGCCTTGAACTCACAGAGAACCACCTGCCTCTGCCTCCCGAGTGCTGAGATTAAAGGTGTGTGCTACCATGCCTAGTTGCAATAGCTTTTCATCGGGGATGTTTTAGTGAAGTTAGTGCTTCTATTTTTTTTGATTGATTGTGTGGGTGTGCATGTGTATGTGCCAGTGTGTATGTGGGGGAGGGGGGGTGTCAGAGTGGCCCCCCAGGAGGGGAGGGGGGAGAGGGAGAGGGAGGGGGAGGAAGGAGGGGGAGGAGGATTTGTATAAGACAGGGTGTTGCTATGTTGTCCAAGCTGGATGCAGACTTACTTTGTAGCTCAGGTTAGCCTGGAATTTGAGAACCTCCTGCCTGAACCTCCTGAGTAGCTGGGATTCTAGGCTTGTATCACATACCCAGCAAGGATTACATACTTCAGAAACGTGTACAGTCTATTGAGAAAGAAGTGAGGATTTTTCTGTGAGGAAAATTTGCTTAAATACTATAGTAAATTCATGAGAAGCCAAAATTCACCCTATAAAGATTTTTAGACAACAGATTTCTGAAGCTTAGAACTGATGGGACTAGCAATATACCAGAATTCCACAACTGTAACACACATTACCTTCCTAGATCTCAGTGAGAACACTCCTGAAGCTTTCACGGGCTTGCTTGTTTGTTTTTGACACAGGGTCTCACTATGTAGACCAGGCTGGCCTTCAACTCAGAGTCTTCCTTCCTCCTTGCTTGGATTAAAGGCAAGGCCTGGTAAACTTGTATGTTTAATTAAGTTAAAGAAAAAAATTATGAAAAGAAAAAAGAACCTTATGTGTAATCCTATCAACAATAGCAACAGCAATTTCAAACAAGAAGCTTAAACATACAACCTCATGAAACAGTGGTCCCAACACATGATCAACGCTTTAGACCAGTGTCTCTTTCATGAACTCTTCCAGAACAGCTACCACACTTTTGGCCTCAGGCATTTCTTCATGTTCCACTTTAACAATCTTCAAAAGGATGTCTCCACTACCACAGTTCTTAAGGAACATGTAACATTTAAACAAGGCGTAATGATTCATTTCTGCCTGCCGGATAAATCTCTTCAAATTGTTAGTGTCTTGTATGGCCTAGAAAAAGAAGACTCAGTTAATTAAGTATGTGTTCAATGAGATAGTAACGAAGCTTGAGAAATATCCCTTATCAAGCTGAGCCCTCAGCATATGTGCCAATGTTGGCTTTTTATTGTAAATATCCCATTATTTCTATTGCTAATATACTTTGCCTTTGGTGTAACAGCTTCTCCTGTAGAAAAAGACTTAAATCTTTTAAGGTGGCAGCACTCTCCCATCACGTATCTCTGCATTTTGCAACTGAGATACATCACACATTGGTCAGCTTGATGTCCCCTGAATATAAGCAAGCATCCAACACAGCTTCTTGGAAACGAAACTGCATGCAAAGCTGCTGAAAGGGCAAGTGTCGTGACGCCTGGAGTTCTGGGGACGCTCCATTCTAGGGACATCGCAGCTGTCAGATCGCAGATGCTGTCCCTGGCAACGATCAAATTCACACCAAAAATATTGCAAGTGGCCCTTGGCACACAGCCAATGCATTACCTTTAGTTTAAAGTTCTCCAGAACTTGTCTAAAAAGAAAAGGGTTCCCCCCTTCAGCACCATGCAAGAAAGCCTGCATCCATTCCTCACAAAAACGGTTGCTTCCTACAAAATATTAAAAAAAAAAAAAAAAAATGTTAAGTGCTACAAAGCACCTGTATTTCTTTACAAAAAAAAAATTGTAATTAATTATTTAAAACTTCTGTAGTAATCTGAAAAAGAGTAATGTTTGCCACATAGCAAAGAAATGCCAAAACAGTTCTCCCCAGTCATGCTCCCCTCCATAAAAAAAATTAAAAAAAAAAAAAAAAATGTTAAGTGCTACAAAGCACCTGTATTTCTTTACAAAAAAAAAATTGTAATTAATTATTTAAAACTTCTGTAGTAATCTGAAAAAGAGTAATGTTTGCCACATAGCAAAGAAATGCCAAAACAGTTCTCCCCAGTCATGCTCCCCTCCAAAATGGTCATTCTCATGCACTCTGCCTGCCTGTCTCTCTAAGCTTCATATGTATTTTTCTTTCTTTTCTCCCTTTCTCCCTTTCTCCTTTCTTTCTTTCTCTCTCCCTCCTTCCTTCCTTGCTTCTCTCTCTCTCTCTCTCTCTCTCTCTCTCTCCCTCTCTCTCTCTCTTTCTTTCTTTCTTTCTTTGGAACGCCCAGAGATCCACTTACCTTTGCCTCCCAACTGCTGTGTCGGGAAGTATGTACCACCATGCCTAGCAATATGTATTTTGCTTAATGGTTGTCTCATTAAATAGTACATCTGAGAGCTATACTAACATATCTCTAGCTCATTTTTAGCTGCTCTATAATATTCCATTGTACGACTTAGATGTTATATTGTTGATTTAAAAGAAAAAAAGAGCCAGGTGTGGTGGCGCACGCCTTTAATCCCAGCCCTGGGGAGGCAGAGGCAGGCAGATCTCTGTGAGTTCAAGGCCAGCCTGGTCTACATAGTGAGTTCCAGGACAGCTGGGGCTACAGGGAGACCCTATCTCAAAAAGACCAGAAAAAAAAGAAAAAAAAAAGCCTTTAAGCTGGGCATGCTGACGTACACCTTTGATCCCAGCACTCCAAGGCAGAGGCAGGCAGATCTCTGAGATGCAGGCTACCCTGGTCTACATAGTGAATTCCAGGCTAGTTGGGAGACACTGTCTCAAAAAAAAAAAAAAAAAAAAAAAAGCCTTTAAGGCCAGGAATAGTAGTTCACTCCTGCTATCCTCCAGATGCTGGAAGACCTCTGTGAGTTCAAGACCAGTCTGGTCTGGTCTATATATGGAATTCCAGGCCAGCCAGAGCTACATAGTGAGCCTTGTCCAAAACAAAAAAAACAAAACAAAACCAAAAAAAAAATACTTTTAAGGGGACTGAGAAGATGGCCGCACAAGCGTGAAGACCTGAGTTAGAATCCCCAGAACCCATGTAAAAGCTGGATGCACATGCAAACCTCTGTAATCCCAACAGTCCAATGGGGACATGGGAAGCAGACAGGAGAATCCCCAAAGCTCATGGGCCTAATGTATACAGCAGAAAAAAATAAAACAGAACCTGCCTCCAACAAGGTAGAAGGTGAGGACTGCCTACACTGTGCCATATACCCACACTCTCACAAACACACACAGAATGTCTTTAGGTGGGGTCAGCAAGATGGCTCAGCTGGTATAGATGCTTGCCACCAAGCCTGACTTAGATCCCCAGAACCTACATGGTGGAAGAAGAGAACAGTCTCCTGCAAATTCTCCGGTCTCCACACGTGCTCATACACACACACACACACACACACACACACACATACAGAGGCACATACACACAAATAAAAAATAAATAAATAAATAAATAAATAAATGTGTTCAGGGCTGGGGAGATGGCTCAGTGGATAAAACTCATGCCATTCAGCCGGGTGTAGTGGCGCATGCGTTTAGTCCCAGCACTTAGGAGGCAGAGGCAGGTGGATCTCTGTGAGTTCAAGGCCAAACACACACACACACACACACACACACACACCAAAAAAAAAAAACAAAAACCTCATGCCATTCAAGCATAAGGGCCTGAGTTCAGATCCTCAGAACACAGATAAAGTCAGATGCAGATGCAGTATGTGCATCTAAAATCCACCGTTCCTATGGTGAGATGGGAAAATCCCTGGAAGCTTGAGGGTCCAACTAGTCTGGTGTACACAGCAGGAAACAAGAGACCCTGACTCAAACAAGGTGGAAGGTGAGGACTGTCCTCTGTCTTCCACATGTATGCTATGATACACATATCCCTACACACACACACACACACACACACACAAATTTTTTTAAAAAATGTCTTTAGGCCAGTCATGGTGGTACATGCCTATAATCTCAGCACTTGGAAAGCAGAGGCAGGAGGTTTAGGAGTTCAAGGTTACATGAGACCCTTTTTCAAAGACAAACTGAAAAAAAAAAAAAAAAAAGCCTATAATATGAGGAAGACTAGGGTAGGAGGAGTATGAGTCCAAGGCTAGCCTAGACTGTACAGTGAGACTAAATCTCAGAAAAAAACAAACTGTCGGGCATGGTGGCACATGTCTTTAATCCCAGCACTCGGGAGGCAGAGGCAGGTGGATCTCTATGAGTTCAAGGCCAGCCTGGTCTACATAGTGAGTTCCAGGACAGCTGGGGCTACAGGGAGACCCTGTCTCAAAAAGACCAAAAAACTAAAAACCCATATAATAAATAAAAAGGGCTGGAGAGATGGCTCAGCGATTAAGAACACTGTTCTTGCAGAAGACCCAGGTTCGAATCCCAGCACCCACATGGCAGCTAGCAGCTGTCCCTAACTCCAGTTCCAGGGGATCCGACAGCCTCTTCTGTCTTCTGTGAGCATTGCACAACACGGGTGTACTTACCTACATGCAGGCGATACACACATACACATGAAATAAAAAATAAAAAAAGCCTGGTCTACACAGCGAGTTCCAGACCAGCTGTGGCTACAGGGAGACCCTGTCTCAAAATAATAAACAAACAAAAATATAAATAAATAAATAAATAAATAAAAAACAAGGCGGGGCATGGTGCTGCACACCTTGAGTCCCAGCACTGGAAGGCAGATGCAGACAGATCTCTGTAAGTTTGAGGCCAGCCTGTTCTACATAGTGAATTCCAGGCCAGCCTAGCCTACACAGTGAGACCATGTCTCAAAAAAAAGTCTTTATGAACATTTATCTGTCTCCTGTGTATACATATGTGAGTTTTCTTATACACACAGAATGGACTACTAGGCATGACTTGATTTTCATGTTTCTACGATCATTAGTGTTTTCAGCAAGCTTTGTACACCACAAGAAGGCTGTGACTGTATCATGTATTTTCAGTGTAAAGATGGAAACTCAAGAGATGAGCATGGTATGGTGACACACGACTTTAATCCCAGCACTGGGAGGCAGAGGCAGGCAGATCTCTGTGAGTTTCAGGCCACCACGGTCTACATAGTGAGTACCAGGTCAGCTGGGGCTACAGGGAGACCCTGTCTCAAAAAGACCCCCCCCCAAAAAAAAAAGAAGTAGTAAACTCAGAAAAGGTCCATGAAATGAACACTGCTTCCAAGTTTTTGACTCACCTGCATTGTAGAACTGAGGCTGGGAGCCACTGCAGTTGATGACCACAGATTTATGCTGCTCCTCTGTCATGGCCATACACAAAGATGTCATGGTGCCTTCATGAATAAGTCCTTCAAGACTGGCCACACTCAGAAACCTGTCACATATACAAGTTCTTTTCCACAAACAGTATTACAGAATGGGAGGAAGAGAACACATTCATTCTACACTAGGGGCTGCTGGTTAAAAATGCAATTTTTGGGCTTGCTGGAGAAAGCTTTCTTTAAAAAATTATGTTTTGGGGCTGAAGAGATGGCCCAGTGCTTAAGAGCACTGGCTGCTTTTGCAGAGGACCAGGGTTTGGTTCCCAGTATTCACATGGCAGCTAACAACTGTCCATAACTCCAGTTCTAGGGGACTCTGATGCCCTCTTCTGACCTCTGTGGGCTTTGCATGACAGGTGTATACTCACATACATGTAGGCAATATACTCATACACATAATATAAAAATAATAAGATATTTTTTTGCTGGGCGTGGTGGCACACACCTTTAATCCCAGCACTCGGGAGGCAGAGGCAGGCATATCTCTGTGAGTTCAAGACCAGCCTGGTCTACATAGTGAATTCCAGGTCAGCTGGGGCTACAGGGAGACCCTGTCTCAAAAAGACCAAAAAAAAAAAACTAAAAAATAAATATTTTTTAAAATATTATGTTCTTTACCTGTTAATGTCTCTTTTTGTTTCCTCATCTGATTCTTTAACCTCCACAGGAGTATAACTTAAAGCCTATGAAAAAGAAAAGCCTTTAGATATGTGTCTTCCAGTGTTCCTTGCTGAGTCACCACTATGACTGAATATCACCGTCCTTAGTAACCACTTCACCTGAGAATAACTGATAGGCACTGCCCACCACAGTTTTGTTCAGCAGCTGCCTGCTAACATTTTTTTTTTTTTTTTTTTTGCTTTGTGTATGAGTGTTTTGCCTTAATGTATGCAAATGCACCCATTGTCATAAAAGGCAGAAGTCAGAAGAGGGCATTGAATCCCCTAGAACTGAAGTTGGGGATGGTTGTTGGCTGCCATGTTGGTGCTGGGAACTGAACCTGGGTCCTTTTTAAGAGCAGACAGTTCTCTTAACCACTATGCCATCTCTCAGCCTCTGCCTGTTAACATTTTTAAGGCAAAGTTGTTTTTCTTTTGCCAGTTAAACTCAGGGCCTCATACACCTAAGAAAGTAAGCAAGTGCTCTAATTTTTCCTGTAGTAGGGTTATTTTAAGACATTGTCTTGCTCGATTCCTGCACTCTCCTAGAACTCTCACTTCTTCACTCTCTGTCTCTCCAGCACTAGAATTATAGGCACATGTTACATTTTTAAAAGCATTTTGTTTGCTTGTTTGTTTAGTGGGCAGGAGACTGCATGCATGCCATGCCATACATGGGGAAGTCAGAGGACAGCTTGTGGGAGTTGACTGTCTCCTTCTACCATGTGGGTTCTAGGGCTTGAACTCAGGTCATCAGGTGGTACACCAGTGGTCATTATACCAGCCCCAAAGTTCATCTATTTATTTTATTACTTGTGCACACACACACACACACACACATGCAGTCATAAGCACTTGCATGCCACACAACCCATGTGGAGGTCAGAGGCCAACTCTGGGGAGTTGGTTCTCTCCTGCCACCTTGTGGGGTCTGGGGATTGAATTCAGGTCCATCCTGCACACAAGCAGACATACACAGTTAAAATCACTTTGAAATTTTGTTTTCTCTTTCAAAGTGTTTTGGAAATTTCACCTGTCTCAGATAATTTCAAACAGTAATTATTTCAGTCAGGTGTGGTTAGGCAGGCCCGTAATCCCAGTACTCAAGAGGCTGAGGCAGATAAGCCTCAATGTCTAAGGCCAGGACAAGGGTGATGGCTCATTGGGTAAAAATGCTAGTCACTCAAGTCTGACAACCTGAGTTCAATCCCCTGATCCCACATAAAAAGCCAGATATGATAGTGAGCATCTGTAATCCCAGCACTCTGACAGTGACATGGGAGGCAGAGACAGGAATCTACAGGAAGTCAAGGGCCAGCTAGCTTGGAGTATGCCACACAGGAGAAAATGGATGAGAAGTGACTCCCAAAAGTTGTTCTCTGACCTTTACACATGTGTGTGCTTACACATTTATACACACACATACACATACACACACACACACACACACACACACACACACACACACACACACACACACGTTAATCAAAAATTTCTTTAAAAAAAGGCCTGAGGCCATCCTAGGTCACACAGGCCCTACGTCAAAAAAGTGGTCAAGAAGAAAAAAAAATTTTTTTTGGTCTTTTTGAGACAGGGTCTCCCTGCAGCCAGAGCTGTCCTGGAACTTACTATGTAGACCAGGCTGGCCTTGAGCTCACCGAGATCCGCCTGCCTCTGCCTCCCAAGTGCTGGGACTACAGGCATGAGCCACCATCCCCGGCTTAAGAAAAATCATTTTAAAAGGTTTTATCCTATTAGGAAGACCCAGCTGACATTTATAGTTCAACACCACCTTAGTAATAAAATTTTCTAGATCTGAGTAAATAAGATATAGTCCAAACAACAAGCATAATCTGAATAAATATTCAGGGAGGGTAATGTTACATAACATTTAGAGAAAATGCCTGTTTCTAAATGATCCAAATTCTGCCGAGGTGACTCTCAATTAAGGAATGCTTTTTCTTGGACAATACTCACGGCATGTAGCAAAAAGGTGAGTTTCTCCTGAAAGAGAAGAACAACTCTTTGGATTGGGCACACTACATCCTCAAACCAGCTGTTCAGATAGGACTTCACGTTGTTCTCCAGGCCCCTTTCCTAGATCAAGAGAGAATGTCATGTGCTTTAATATCATATAAGCCTGGACTGAACATTTTCTTCAATAAGCTCTGTGTGTGTGTGTGTGTGTGTGTGTGTGTGTGTGTAAACAAAAGGTTATCATCAGCTGTCCTCCTAAATTGCTTTCCACCTTGTGTCTTAAAATATTTTTATGTGTATGATTGAATTGTCTGCATGTATGTAAATGTACCCATGTTGCACAATGCCCACAGAGGTCAGAAGAAAACGTTGGTTCCCCTGGAACCACGCTGAGAACCAAACCTGGGTCCTCTGCAAGAGCAGTCACTGCTCCTAAATTTTGAGCCATCTCTCCAGCCACAATCTATGTGCTCAGGTTAGAGGCTAACTAACAGGAGTTGGAGCTTTTCTACCATGTGGGTGCTGGTGATCAGACTCAGGTCACCAAGCTCGGTGGCAAGAGCTTTATTCAGAGCCATTTCTCTAGCCCCTCCACCTTATTTTTTAAGGCAGGGTCTCTCACTGCACCTGGAGCTTACTGATTTGGCTAGGCTGAGTGGTCAGCCAGGTCTAGGGATCTGCCTGACTCAACTGCCTCTGCCAGCCACACCCAACTTTTTATGTGGGTGCTGGGGATCCAAACTCAGGTTCTAATGCTTGTGAGGCAAGCACTTTATATACTAAGCCATCTTCCTAGCCCCTTCTTCAATATACTGGTTTTCAAATATTTATTTTACTTTTATTTGTGTATTTGTCTGTGTGAGTGCCTGCAGTGGCTAGGAGGTAGTGGGTTCCCTGGAGCTGGAGTTATAAGTGGTTGTGAAATGCCTGACATGGGTGCTGGGAACTGAACTTCTGAGGCATTACACCAGCCCCCTTCAATATACTCTTAATAGCTAAAGAACAAAAACTAGAACAAGTACCTCTTTTCTTATTTTTGTTTTATTTTGAGACAGGGTCTCCCTGAGGCCCCAGCTGGCCTAAAACTCACTATGTAGACCAGGTTGGCCTCAATCTCACAGAGATCTGCCTGCCTCTGCCTCCCCAGAGCTTGAATTAAAGGCTGGTGCCACCACACCCAGCTTTTTCTTGTTTTTGAAACAGAGTTTAGCCATGTAGTATAGGCTGGCCTTGAACTTGTGATCCTCTTGCCTAAGCCTCCCTGATACTGGGAGCATAGGTGTGCACCACCATGCCTAGCCATACCTCTTTTTTTTCCTTCCTTCCTTCCTTCCCTTCCTTCCTTCCTTCCTTCCTTCCTTCCTTCCTCCCTCCCTCCCTCCCTCCCTCCCTCCCTCTCTCCCTCTCTCCCTTCCTCCCTCCCGCCTTCCCTTCCTTCCCCCACAAATACCATCAGCTCAAAAAAATGAATTGTGAGCCAGGCATCATGGCACAAACCTGTAATCCCAGCACTCAGACAAGAGTATCTCAAGTTCGAGGCCAGCTTGGGCTACAAAATGAGATTCTAGAATGACTATACAGCAAGACAAAACAAAAAACCAAAGGCTTTGCAATCTCATTTTCTAGGAGCTTATTGAAGGAGTAGAGTTCTGTGCTATTTGCTGCACTATTCCTCACTGGAGATAGTCTCTGAACAATCCCATTTCTCCATCTTGACATGGTAATGCCTGAAACATGCACAGTATAAGCTTACTGACTACTAATGACTGAAAGAGTATGGACAGAATTTGTCCAGACTCAGAATGTGAACACTGAACTATTTAAAGCACTCTAGTCATCAGACATGCCCCCACGAGCACATCTGGCTTCTAGACTGCAATGGGGACACCTGTTGCATAAGAAGAGCTCTAGTGTGGGAGAGCAGGACCCCAGATTCAAATCCCTGGCTCATTCCTCAGCTATCCTCTCCTCTTGCCATAAGCTATGTAAGTACATGCCAAGAAAAAGGAACTATTACGACATGTAATACGTAATATATTTATTAGAATTCTAACTTTAAGTACTGTAACAAGCCAAAGGCTTTTTTTTTTTTTTTTTTTTTTTAAGATAGGGTCTCACATAAGCCAGGTAGGTGTCAAACTCCCTATGTAGCTGACACTGACCTTGACGCCCGATCCTCCTGCTTCCACCACCTTCCTAGGGCTGGGATTACAGACATGTACCACCACACCTGGCTTGAAAGCATAGTTTTTGACAAGTTTTGGTAAATTAGTCAATACAGATATGTCTGATTCATAAAAGATGAGAATGGAATGTTTCTAAAACTCTTTGGTAAGTTCAAGGACATATATATACTGTGGCACAACATATCTCTGGTTTCACAGGCTTCATGGACCACTAGAGCTGACCAAAATATAAACCCTATGTGCCTAGAAATCAGGTAAAAGGCATCTTCTTCACCACATGTTACACGTCTTGAATTTGACATAGATTTTGGGGGGGGGTAAATATCTGTCTGTGTGTGTGTACATGCGTGTATGTATGCATGCCAAGGTGAATATGTAGCGGTCAGAGGACAACCCTTGGAAGTCAGTTCTCCCTTTCCACGATGTGTGTCCCAGGGAATTTAGATCATCAGGCATGGTGGTACCTTTACACATTGAGCCATTTCACCAGTCCTTTTTTGTTTTGTTTTTGAGACAGGATCCCACTGTAGCCCTGGCTGGCCTAGAACTCACTACATAGACTGGGCTAGCCTCAACTCATGGACAGTCTTCCTGTCTCTGCCTTCCAAGAGCTGGGATGACCATACCTGGCTATAACAGAATTTTTCATCAGTACAATACATCAAAAGTAGTCTCGTGAAACTTCTAGCACCAGTGTGGCTACATTCCTGCTATCCTCAAAGATCACCGGTTTCCTAGACCACAAGGTAAAGGTTTTAGATTTTTTTTTTTTTTTTGGTCTTTTTGAGACAGGGTCTCCCTGTAGCTCCAGCTGTCCTGGAACTCAGTATGTAGACCAGGCTGGCCTTGAACTCACAGAGATCCGCCTGCCTCTGCCTTCGAGTGCTGGGATTAAAGGCGTGTGCCACCATGCCTGGCTAAGTTTTTAGAATTTAAGAGTTTTGTGGCTATCTATATTATTTGACAAGTATAGAAGTCATGATATAGTAATCATTTCAGGCTTACAAGGTTTAAATCAGTCAGCTTACCTCACAATTCATATTATTTTTCAGCCCTTGAATATACTTGTCCAATTCGAGCCTGAAAGTATGTTCTTAAGGAAGTGATACAGGATGAATAATCAATAATTTATCTCTCAGTAAGAAATAGAAGGTCTCAGGCTGGAGAGATGGCTCAGTGGTTAAGAGCACTGAAGGCTCTTGCAAAGGACCCAGGTTCAATTCCCAGCACCCACATGGCGGCTATGAACCGTCCTTAACTCCAGTTCTAGGGGAATCCAAAGCCCTCTTCTAACCTCCATGGCACTGCACAACATGGGTGCACTCACATACATGCAGGCAATACACTCATACACATAAAATAAAAATAAATAAAATATTTTTAAAAAAAGAAATAGAAGGTCTCTCAGATAATGGGAAGTGAATCAAACAAGCCAACGCAATGGCCACAGGACTGTATGAAACTGACACACTCTTTATGGCTTGAGAAGCTTGGGGGCAAGCGCCAGAGCTGCTCCTCCACTTGCCTTCCCATGTTCCTCCTGACACCTCAAACACCAGAGAAAGGATATAGCTCGAGGCCTTTTTCAGATCCTCCTAAAAAGCAGACCACATACTCTGAAGGGTTATGTTCAGGTTCCATTGTTGCTGTTTCAGGAAGCAGTTTTTCCTGTTGGAAAAGGCAGTAATAACAACCAACTCGGTAACCTGGAATTCTAGAAAAGAAAGAAGAAAGTACAATGTAGTACTGGGGGTACTAGTGTATCTCATTTACAGACTGCTCTGAACTCAGACTACCTTGATCTAGCAACACTTTCAGACTGGCTACATGTTCAAAGCTTCCAAACGTCTCATCTGCTGACTCATCTCAGCAGAGGAACGTGACTCTACAGCCTGGTGGACAGTAATTACAACAGCCTCTATCAGGGCTGAACTTTTGTTGAAGTCTGCTGTCTTATATGAAAAAGCTACACAGAGTTCACTCTTGTTCATTGAATATCCATGTTTACTTAAAGATAAGCATGATCTCCTTTAAACCTTCACACTAGTGGATGTTCCAAGCAGATGTGCCAGGCTTATCTGGTGGCCTTATCCTTGGTCCATGGCCTCATATTCCTAAGGAGACCTATATGGCAAACTCATGGTCTGAAGTATAATTGAAAGACATCTGATGTTCTGATGTTGGACTGAGGGTGCCTGTTTAAGCTGAACTCCATCAAGGTAAAAAAAAAAAAAAACCATCACCTTCCCATCCAATTAAACTCCTGAGTTTATTTACTCATTTGAAAATTGAAATGAAAGTACTTCCCTGTCTCCCTCTGTAAGAAGAACTGTTTGCAAAAGCATGTTACAAACAATTTCAACTTTGGCAATTAACTTTTTCTTTAAATGATGCTAGGGATTGAACAAAGAGCATGCTAGGAAAATTCTATAAGACTGAACTGAAAGTTCTCTATGTCTCCAGCTCTTGACTCTATTCTTCTAAGCGTAAAACGATTAAAGTATACTTAGGTGCCAGCATCTCCATCACACAGTATAATTTCATAAATGTTTATGTGTGAGATCCTTGAGGGCAAGAGGTACCAGAAAACAGTAAACAAAGATGAATTTTGCAGGTCTAGATCAACACTTCTCATGTTTAGCTCAGAAATTAAAAAACCACAGCACACAGCACATTTTACACTTACCTCAGCTCCACAGATGCAACATTACCCAGTCCTTCAAAGACTGCTCCCTTGGAAAGACGCTTAGCAATGAAACTGCGCAGCTCTGGCTCCATTTCAGATGGTAGATTAGTATCCGCCAAGGAGAGGCTTGACAAATCAAAGACACACAGTCCTGACCATTGGACTAGTGCATTCATAACCATAAGTCAGATATAATGGTACCAAAGTCAGGGTCTGTCTCTCTCTCTCAATAGAATCTTATTATATAGCCCAAGCTGGCTTTGAACTAACTACATAGCCCAGATTACTGCAAACTTGTGGTGATCATCTTTTCCCAAGTGCTGGGATCATAGGCGTATACTGCCATACCCTACTTTAGAGTCTCTCTTAAGGACTTAAGAATGCTCTCTACTTAACTCCTGTTGGTGAGTGCTATAGTTTGGATCTGGAATGTCCCCCAAAGGCCCACATGTTGAAGGTTTGGTTCCCATACCATGGTGCTATTGGAGAGTGGTAGAACTTTTAGGAAGTGGGGTCTTGTTGAAGGAAGTTAAGTCACTAGAAGTATGCCCTGATGAGATATTGGGATCTTGGCTAGCTGGCCAACTGGCCACCTCCCTCCCTTCCTCTCTATTTCTCCCTAACTGCCATGAGGTTAACAGGCTCTTCTGTCATATGCTCTTGCCAAGAACTACTGTGTTGCCAAAGCAACCATAGACTGAAACTTCTAAAACTGAGCCAAAATAAATATTTCCTCCTTTATTTATTATTAATTATGAGTATCTGTATGTACATGTGTACATGAATGTAGGGGCCCAAGGAGGCCCTTGGTTCCCCTGGAACTGGAGTTACAGGTGGTTGTGAGCCACCTTATGTGGGTGCTATGAACTGAACTCAGATCTTCTGGAAGAGCAGTACATGGTCTTGACCACTGAGCCATCTTGCTACCATCCCCTTTCCTCCTTTTAACATTATCTCAACTGGGGGTGTAGCTCAGTATAGGTTACTTACCTAGCATGTGTAACGTCCTGGTTTAGTTCCTAGCACTTAAATAAAAAGATGATCAAGAGTGATGGTACATGCCTATAACCCAGTCCTTGGGAGGTAGAAGCAGGAGGATCAGGAGTTCAAGGTCATCCTCAGCTACATGGTTCAAAGCCAGCCTCTGCTGCCTAAAGCTGTGTCTCAAAAAAAGAAAAAGTTGTAAGCAATCCTAATTAAATTAATTGGGTCACTAAAACAAATTATCTCGGGTATTTTGTCATAGAATGTAAAGCTGATTAACACACTGAGGTTCCTAGGAATGCATCTCACCAAGTACAATCTACCTTCCATTCCCCTTTCCAGCTCTTCTCTCCACACGACAACTACACTAAAATACCTAACTCTGCCTCTTTCACAAACTCGTTTCCTATCTCTTCACTTCCTGTCTCACTTCCAGTTAAATTCCATAGTTAGGGGCTGAGCATGGTGGTATAAGTCTTTAATCCTAGCACTTGGGAGGCTGAGGCAGGCTGATCTCTGTGAGATGGTGATGGAGGCTGGTCCACATAGCAAGTTCCAGACCAGCTGGGGCTATACAGAGACCCTGTCTTAAAAAAAAAAAAATTCACGGTCAGTCATTATAAATTCCTAAATATATATATAATTTTTTTAAAACAGGGTCTTATTATTTAGCACAGGCTGACCTAGTACTCTCTACAATAGTTCAAACTTTCTGAGCTCCTCCTGCTTCAGCCTCCTGAGTGTGGGGATTATAGGCATGAGCCACCCTATCTGGTGCACACCTGAACATTCTTGCTTTTCTTTCTTTCAACTTTGAGTATAAATATTAAATACTGGGCCAGCAAGATGGCTCAGCAGGTAAAGGCACTTGCTGCCAAGGCTGACAGCCTGAGTTCAATCCCTAGAACCCACATGGTGAAAGGTGAGAACAAACTCCTACAAGTTATTCTCTGACTTCCACATATACACTATATACACCATGGCATACATACACCTACACACATATCCCCCAAAAAAAACCCACAAAATAAATGAATGAAAAAAAATTTAATTGACTCCTAAGCCAGGTGTGGTGATGACATCTGTAATCAATCCCAGCACTTGGAAGGCTAAAACAGAATCACCTTGAGTTTGAGGCTGGCCTGGGCTGCATAGCAAGATACTGTATCCCCCCCCCAAAAAAAAAGTGGTGGAGGGGGAGGGATGGCTTGATGGCTTAAGAGTTAAGAGCAATGGCTGCTCTTGCAGAGGACCGGGGTTTGGTCCCAACACCCATATGGCAGTTAACAACTGTCCTTCCAGAAGATCCAATAGCCTCTTCTACCCTCCACAGACAATGCATTCATAACAAGTTCACTTACATACATGTAGGCAAAATACTCATAAAATAAAAATAAAAATTTTTGTTTTTTTTTAAATAAATAAAAGCTGAAGAGATGGCTCAGCAGTTAAGAGCATTGGCTGCTTTTACAGAGGACCAGAGTTCAGTTCCCAGGACCCACATGGGTGCTAACAACTGTCTATAAGTCCTGTTCCAAGAGGATTCGTCGCCCTTTTTTGGTCTCTGTGGGTATTGCATGCACATGGTGCACTTACATACATGCAGGCAAAATACTCATACACATAAAAACAAAAATAAGTAAGTAAAAAAAGGTGGGGAAGGCTTGAGAGAAGACTCAGCAGTTAAGAGCACCAGCTGTTCTTGCAGAGGATCCAGGTTTGGTTCCCAGCACCCAAATGACAGCTAACAATTGTCCTTAACTTCAGTTCCATGTGATCGTATGCCTTCTTCTGGTCTCCAAGGGCACTGCACAACACAGGTGCACTTACATACATGCAGCCAAACATTCATATGAATAAAATAAAATGAATAAATTTTTTTTTTTTTTTGTCTTTTTGAAACAGGGTCTCCCTGTAGCCCCAGCTGTCCTGGAACTCACTATGTAGACCAGGCTGGCCTTGAACTCAGAGATCTGCCTGCCTCTGCCTCCCAAGTACTGGGACTACAGGCATGTGCCACCATGCCCGGCGAATAAAATATTTTTTAAAAAGTAAAATAAGGGGCTGGAGAGATGGCTCAGTGGTTAAGAACACTGGCTGTTCTTGCAGAAGACCAGGGTTCAAATCCCAGCACCCACATAGCAGCTAACAACTGTCTGTAACTCCAGTCCCAGGGGATCCGACAGCCTCTTCTGTCCTCTGTGGGCATTGTGCAACACGGGTGCAGGTACCTACATGCAGGCAATACACACATACGCATAAAAATAATAAATGAAATATTTTTTTTTTTAAAAAGTAAAATAAGGGGCTGGAGAGATGGCTCAGCAGTTAAGAACACTGGTTGGTCTTGCAGAAGACCCGGGTTCAAATCCCAGCACCCACATAGCAGCTAACAACTGTCTGTAACTCCAGTCCCAGGGGATCCGACAGCCTCTTCTGTCCTCTGTGGGCATTGTGCAACACGGGTGCAGGTACCTACATGCAGGCAATACACACATGCACATAAAATAAAAATAATAAAATTTTAAAAAAGTAAAATAAATTGGGACTGTAGAGATGGCTCAGCATTTAAGAGGACTGACTGCTCTTGCAGAGGACCCAGGTTCAATTCCCAGCACCCGCGTGGTTGCTAACAACCATCTGTCCATAACTCTAGTTCCAGGGGATCTGATGCCCTCTTCTGACTTCTGCAAGCATTGCATGAAACAGGTGCACTTACATACATGCTGGTAATACACTCATACCTATAAAGTAAAAATAATAGTTTTTTAAAAAGTAAAATAAATTAAAAATAAGTTTAAGAAAAAGCTAGACTTGGTGACACATGCCTGTAATCCCATAATCTCATCCCTTGGAAGGTGGAGGCAGGAGGATCAGGAGTTTGTCATCCTTGCCTACATAGTGAGCTTGAGGCCAGCCTGGGACTTATGGGACCCTTTTTCAAAAAACCAAAATGAATGAATGAATGAATAAATGAATGAGTGAATGAATATGAACTTAATCTCCTTCAAATGTTTTCATCTCAGTGGACTCTCTGAGCAAAACTAGTCTGTCTACCTGCTCTGCTCCTGCAGCTGAATATGATTGAATAAAACCCTTAATTCAGAGCTGGCTCAGTGGTTAAGAGCACTGACTGTTCTTGCAGAGGACCTGGGTTAGATTCCCAGCACCCACATGGTGGCTACAAACCGTCCCTAACTCCAGTTTCAGGGGAATCCAAAGCCCTCTTCTGACCTCCACAGCATTGCATGACACGGGTGTACATACATGCAAGCAATACATTCATACACATAAAATAAAAGTAATAAGTATTTTTTAAAAAACCTAACTTCATGATGAAGAATGTTAAATGATCACTATCCTCAAATGGGTCCTAATCTTTTCAACCCATCACTACATTTCCTGGCTTATTCACTTTGCTATATCACCATTTCCGGTTTCCCCTTCCTTTTCCTCAGTCCTCAAGTACAGTCTACTCATGAATAAACAACAACAAAAAAAGCCAGAGTGGTGAGGCACGATTTCTTCAATACCAGTGAGGCTAAGGCAGGCTGAGCTCTGTGACCTCAAGGCCAGCCTGGTCTACATAGTGAGTTCCAGGCCAGCTGGGGCTACAGGGAGACCCCATCTCAAAAAGACAAAAATAAACAAATAGAAATAAATACTGGAGATGGCTCAGTGGATAAGAAAACTGGTTGCTCTTGCAGAGGACCTGGGTTCTCAACACACTTGATGGTCCTTAACTCCCGCTCCACTGGCATTCAATGCCCTCTTCTGGCCTCTGTGGGTATTACACATATATGGTATACTTTACACATGTAAGCAAAACAATCATACACATTTAAACACTGATTTTTAAAATCTAATTTTTTTTTATGTGGATGTGTGTATTGTCTGCATGTAGGTAAGTGCACCGTGTTGTGCAATGCCCACAAAGATCAGAAGAGGCTGTCAGATCCCCTGGGACTGGAGTTACAGATAGTTGTTAGCTGCCATGTGGGTGCTGGGATTTGAACCTGGGTCTTCTGCAAGAACAACCACTGTTCTTAACCACTGAGCCATCTCTCCAGCCCCTTAAACACTGATTTTTCAAAAATTAAAATAAAGCTGGGCATGGTGGCACACACCTTTAATCCCAGCACTCAGGAGGTAGAGGCAGGTAGATATCTGTGAGATTGAACCCAGCCTGGTCTACATAGTGAGTTCCAGCCTAACAGGGGCTACAGGGAGACCCTGTCTCTTAAAACAAGAAACAAAAACAAAAGTTAAAAATAAATGCATAAAATAGGGGCTGGAGAGATGGCTCAGCCTCCCAAGTGCCGGGACTACAGGCATGCACCACCATGCTTGGCTTATTTTTATTTTTAACATTTGTTTATTTATTTACTTATGGGGTGGGGGCTTGCATGAATATGTGGAGGTCAGAGGACAACTTGTTTGATTCTGTTCTCTCCTTCTACTATATGTGTCCCAAGGGGTCAAATTCAAGTAATCAAGCTTGACATCAAGTGCCATCTCACCAGCTCAATTTTCATTTTTTGAAATTTTTATTTAAGTATACATGTGTGTCTGTGTGAGTGTATTCCACATGTATGTGGGTACCCATGGAGGCCAGATGTCTGATCCCCAAACTAGAGTTACAGGCAGTTGTGACCCATCAGACATGGGTACTGGGAAACAAACTCAGGTCCTCTAGAAGAGTAGTGAGCAGTCTTAAACACTGAGTCATCTCTCCAGCTCCCCACCCACATTTTGGTTTTTTAAGACAGGGTATTCTAAATCAGCCTTGGTGGCACAGGCCTTTAATCCCAGCACTTGGGAAGCAGAGGCTGGAGGATCTCTGTGAGATTGAGGCCAACTTGATCTACATAGTTATTGCCAGGCCTACTGGGAAACTGTCTCAAAATTAATTAAGTGATTGATTGATTAAATAAATAAAATGAGATGTCCTGTAGCTCAGACTGACCTCATACTCACTATGTCACTGAGGAGGATAACCTTGAACTTTAGTGTGTGTACTTGGGTATTCATGTGTGATGATGCGCACATGCTTATAGAGGCTAAAGGTCAACCTTGGGTGTTGCTCCTCAGACGCCATCCATCTGGTTTATTTGAGGCAGGATTTCTCACTGGGACCTAGAACTTGACAATTAGGCTGGGGTGGCTAGCCAGTGAGCTCCAAGGATACCCCCGTCTCTGTCTTCCCTGTACTGGTATTACAAGTGTGTCATCATGCCCCACTTTTTATCAGGATTCTGGGTATTCGAGTCGGGTCCTTACACACTTTAAAGACTATTTCCCCATCCTCTCATTGAACTCCTGATCCTCCTGTAACCAGCTCCTATGTGCTGGAGTTACAGATGTGTGCTACCATGTCTGGTTGTTGTTTTTTTATCTTGAAATCTAAATTTTGATAGCAGCATCATCTTGAATGTTTTACTGAGTTCCAATCAAGAAGCTCAAAAGAATTCTCTCTGGCTAATCACAGGTGCACTATCTGTGTTTACCCGGCCTTGAATGAATGAGGGAATCATGAGAGATTCCTGGGGGACAGGAAGAATTGATGGCTTGACTCAAAGGAAGTTTAATGGTAACAGGATACTCAGACATCCATAGGACAGAGACACACAGAACATAAAAAGCATATGCAAGGGGGTTCTAGAGAGATGGCTTAGTGGTTAGGAGCACTGGCTGCTCTTACAGAGGACCTGGGTTCAATTCCCAGCACCCACATGGTGGCTAACAACTGTGCATAATTCCCATTCCAGGGGATCCAACACCCTGCTCTGGCCTCCAACGGCATTGCACACACAAGGTGCATTTCATACATGTAGGCAAAACATCTGTGCACATAAAAATAAAAATAAAAATAAACTGGGGCTAGAGAGATAGCTCAGCAGTTAAGAGCACTGGCTGCTCTTACAGAAGACGCAGGTTCAAATCCCAACACCCACATGATGGCTAACAATCATCTGTAACTCCAATTCCAGGGGCTCTGATGCCCTCTTCTGTCCTCCATGGGCACTGTGTGACACGGGTGCACTTGTATACATGCAGGCATAACACTCACACATAAAATAAAAATTAAATAAAAATAAATTTAAAAAGACTTTAAAAGAGCATATGCATGGGTTACGTTTAAGCCGTTTTCACCTGAAGTCATCACCAGGAGTTTCTGCCTTTGTGCCACCCGAGCTTGCATCATCACTGTCACCTCTCTGTTGTGTCAACCTGCCAGACACAAAACAACAGTACTATCAATTATAAGCTCTAAACCAAGCAGCTTATGGGGTCTTTTCAAGCTGGGCAAAGGCAAGGAATCCACTAAAACAGTGTAATGTCAAAGTGCCTGGGTCCTCTATTGACTACTGGCATGAGTTAGAAATCCCATAGTGTTGACAAGAGCCCCTTCTCTCCTCAGGATGTCTAAGGGGTGGAGAAAAGATTTAATACCTGAGAGGTCAAAGAAACTCCTCTTTAAAATGTTCTATTTATTATCTTTATGTTATGTGTATGAGTGTATTGCCTGCATATATGTTAAGTGCACCCCTGTTGTGCAATGTCACGGAGTCAGAGGAGGAGATCAGAAGAGGCTATTGGATCCCCTGGAGCTGGAGTGATGGATGGCTGTCAGGCAACACATGGGTGCTGGGAATTAAACCCAGGTCCTCTGCAAAAGCATCCAGTGCTCCTAACTGCTGAGCCATCTTTGGTGTTTTTGAGACTGGGTCTCCAAGTAGTGGCTAGGCTGGAGCTCACTATGTAGACCAGGCTGGCCTTGAACTCACAGGGATCCACCTGCCTCTGCCTCCCAAGTGCTGGGACTACAGGCTTGCACCACCATGCCCAGCCAGAAACACCTCTTTAAAAAGGGGCTGGGAGGGATGGCTCAGCATATAAGAGCACTTACTGCTCTTCCAGAGTAGAATTGGGTTCCCGGCACCCACATAGGCAGCTTACAAATGTCTGTAACTCCAGCTCCAGTTAGATCTGATGTCTCTGGCCTCTGAGGAATACCGCACAAACAACTGCATACTCGCATATTCACACACAGACACAGGCACTGGCACATAATTAAAAATAAAAAAATAATCGCCTTTAATCCAGTACTCAGGAGGTAGAGGCAGGTGGATCTCTGTGAGTTTGGGACCAGTCTGGTCTATACAGGGAGTTCCAGGACAGCTGGGGCTACAAGGAGACCCTGTCTCAAAACAGACAAAAAAAAATTTTTTTTAATTAACCTTTTAAAAAATAAGTCATGGGGCTGGAGAGATGGCTCAGCAGTTAAGAACACTGACTGTTCTTGCAGAAGACCGGGGTTCGAATCCCAGGACCCAAATGGCAGCTAATAACTGTTCTTAACTCCAGTTCCAGGGGATCCGACAGCCTCTTCTGTCCTCCGCGGGCACTGCATGACACGGGTGCACTTACCTACATGCAGGCAATACACGCATACACATAAAATAAAAAAAATAAATAAAAGCCGGGCGTGGTGGCGCATGCCTTTAATCCCAGCAGAGGCAGGCGGATCTCTGTGAGTTCAAAGCAAGCCTGGTCTACATAGTGAGTTCCAGGACAGGTGGGGCTACAGGAAGACTCTGTCTCAAAAAGACTACTACTACTACTACTACTAATAATAATAATAATAATAATAAAATAAATAAATTAATTAATTAAATAAGTTAGGTGTGGTGGTGCACGCCTTTAGTTCCAGTAGCCAGGAGGCAGAGGCAGCCTGGTCTACGTAAGCGAGTTCCAGGCCAACTGGGGCTACAGACAGACCCTGTCTCAAAAAATAAAAATAAAAAATATAAATAATAAATGAATGAATAAATAAATAAATAGACTATTTCCAGGGCCAGAAGGGCCCCTGCAAAATCAGCGGAAGGGAGCGGAACTGAATAGAGGAGAGAAAGGCCGCAAGAACCGCGGAAACTAGAGGGGAATGAAGGTAGAAATGAAGGCAATTTGAGGCGATGACTAGAGGGCAGGAACAAAGCTGAAATATCGCAGCGTTCAAGAACTGTGCTAGACAAATGGTCCGGGCTGAGCCTACAGGAGCTGGAAGAGGGAAGAGGCTTGAGAGGACCAGGCATAAAAATCCGCGAGCCGGGCAGAACCGACTGAGGCCAGGAGGGCCCTTCGGCCAGAGACCTTGGCTGGGAGATGAGGTGGCGTTTGGGGGCCGCGGGGCCGGTGTGCAAGTTCGGGCGGCGGGGCCCGTGGGGCGCTGGCACCTGCTTCCGCGGTAGCTGTACAGGCAGTAGTGGCTGCTGGGCGGCGGCTCGAGTCTCCGCTCCTCTGCAGAGCCACCCTCCTCGCTGCTCTCCAGCTCCTTTTCATCCCCATCCAGCGATTCTTGCAACGAGGGAAGCATCCCAGCACCTCCGCACAGCGCTGTGTCCCCACCAAACCGTTCCCCTGCTGCTCTGCAGTGCCGGGTGGGCCGGTTCGACCTGCTCCCCGCCCTCGCACACCTGCGTTCCGCTGGCTTCCGAGTCCTGCTAGAACTTCCGAGTTCGCCCTAGGAGACAGTATCTGGTGATGACGGTGCGTCTAGTCACACAGAAAATAATAGAGCTGATCTCCTTCTTTCTTCGTGTGTGCAATAAACACACGTGCATACACCAGTTTGATCAAAGACACAAATATTGCCCGGAAGGTGTTGTGCCCACCTTTAATCCCAGGACTCAGGAGGCAGAGACAGGTGAATCTTTGTGAGTTCGAGGCCAGTGTGGTCTACACAGTTTCAGGCCTTTCAAAACTAAATGTCCGGGGCTGGAGAGATGGCTCAGCGGTTGAGGGCACTGACTGCTCTTGCAGAGGACCTGGGTTCAATTCCCAACACCCACATGGCGGCTATGAACCGTCCTTAACGCCTTCCAGTTCCAGGGGAATCCGAAGCCCTCTTCTGACCATTGCACGACACGGGTGCACTCACATACATGCAGGCAATACACTCATACACATAAAATAAAATTAAAAAATAAAAATAAAAAAACTAAATGCCCATGTGGTATATGTGGCTCAAAGTGAAAGCACTGGCCATAAAACAACTCTAAAATTTGTAACGTTTCTTCTGAGCCAAAAGGAGTGATCAGGGACACAAACTCAAATTACCGAGTTTTGCTGGGTTTTTTGCTTGTTTGTTTTTTCATGAAAGAGGTTGAATAAACTTTTACACTCACAAAAGAAAATAGGTAAAATCATCAAGTAAGAGAAATCACCTGGATGTGGTGGGGCATGCTGTTAGTCCCAGCACTTAGGAGGCAAATCTCTGAGCGTTCAAGGCCAGCAGGCTGTACATAGTGAGTTCCGAGCTAGCTGATGCCACAGGGAGACCCTCTCTCAAAAAGACACCCCCACCCCAAGCTGGTCGTGGTGGTGCATGCCTTTAATTCCAGCACTCAGGAGGCAGAGGCAGGCGAATCTCTGTGAGTTCAGGCCAGCCTGGTCTACATAGTGAGTTCCAGGACAGCTGGGGCTACAGGGAGACCCTGTCTCAAAAAGACCAAAAAAAAAAAAAAAAAAAAAAAAAAAAAAAAAAAGAAAAGAAAAGAAAAGAAAGTGAATTGCTGGGACTAGAGAGATGGCTCAGCTGTTAATAGCACTGGCTGCTCCTGCAGAGGACTGGGGTTTGATTCCCAGCACCCACATTGCAGTTAACCATCCTAAGTCCAGTTCTGGGGCATCTACTGCCCTCTTCTGACCTTTGAAAGGTTTGCATGACACAGGTGCACTTATATATATGCAAACAATAGTCATAACCATAAAATTAAAATAATAAATAGCCAGGTTTGGTGGTGCACGCCTGGTCCCAGCACTTGGGAGGCAGAGGCAGCGGATCTCTGTGAGTTCAAGGCCAGCCTGGTCTACATAGTGAGTTCTAGGACAGCTGGGGCTACAGGGAAACCCTGTCTCAAAAGCTGTCTGTAATCTCAGCACTTGGGAAGCCAAAGCAGGATGATCACTGCAAGTTCCAAGCTAGCCATAGCTATATAGTGAGATCCTGTCTCAAAAAACAAAAACAGATGATAATAAGAATGAAGCCAGAACAGTGACTCACACCTGTAATCCCACTACTCCAGAGAACTGGCACAAGTTCAGGGTCAGCCTGGGGTACATAGTAAGACCCTCTCATAAAAAAAAAGAAAAAAAAAAAAAAAAAAAAGTGAATTGTAATATGTGTATATAGGGCCAATGAAATGACTCTTCAGGTAAAAGCACTTGACCCCCCAAAGCCTGATGACCTGAGTTCAATCCCCAGGAGAGAGAACTGATTCCCACAAGTTGTCTTCTGACCTCCACATGAGCACCTAGGCACTTGCACCCACACACATATATGTGCATGCATTAAATAAATAAATAAATGTAATACAAAATTTTAAGGAATATGTTTACATATAAGAGTTAGTCAGGGGGCTGGAGAGATGGTTCAGTGGTTAAGAACACTGACACCCAGGTTCAAATCGCAGCACCCACATGGCAAGCTAACAACTGTCTCTAACTCCAGTTCCAGGGGATCTGACAGCCTCTTCTGTCTTCCTCGGGCATTGCATGACAGGGATGCACTTACCTACATGCAGGCAATACATGCATACACATTAAAAAAAAAAAAAAGTTACCCAGGAGCCTGGCATGGTGGCATACACCTTTAATTCTAGCACTCTTGAGGCAGAGGCAGGCAGATCTCTGTGAGTTCAAGGCCAGCCCGATCTACACAGTGAGATCCAGGCCAGCTGGGACTGTGTCAAAAAGATGGAAAAAAAAAAAAAAAAAAAAGACAAGTGGCTCAGCAGTTAAGAGCACTGGTTGCTCTTGCAGAGGACACATGTTTGATTCCCAGCACCCACATGGTGGTTAACAACCATCAATAACTCCAGTTCTAAGGGATCAGAGGCCCTCTTCTGACCTCCACAGATACTGCATGACACGGGTGCACTTCCATGCAGGCAATATACTCATACACATTAAAAAAAAAAAAAAAAGAGCCAGGCATGGTGGTGCACAGCTATACCCCAGCACTTAGGAAGCAGGAGTATCCTGAGTTCCAAGCCAGCCTGGAAACCTTAGTAAGACTATGCCTGGTGTGGGAGGCAAAAAAAAAAAAAAAAAATCCTGCTACCTGGTTTATATAGTGAGTTCCAGGCCAACCTGGACTACATAGTATGCCCCACTCTTGAAAAAACAAAAAATAATTTTTAAAAACTGCTCACTTCCAGGCATGGTGGCACACGCCTGTAGTCCCAGCACTTGGGAGGTAGAAGCAGGCGGATCTCTGTGAGTTCAAGGCCAGCCTGGTCTACGTAGTGAGTTCCAGGACAGCTGGGGCTACAGGGAGACCCTGCTTCAAAAAGACAAAAAAAATAAAAAAATAAAAATAAATTTAAAAACAAACAAACAAACAAAAAAAACTGCTGAGTTAATGTTAATACTTTGTAACCCCTAAGGCATCTTTTCCTTGCTTGTTTTACCTTACCTTTAGCAATATTACCTATCAGTCCTAGAGAGACTAAAGAGATGACTCAGTAGTTACTGAACATTTATTATTCTTTTACCCAAGTTCACTTCCCAGCAGCCAATCAAGTTGCTCACAACCACTGTAACTCCAGCTCCAGGGGATCTGAGTCCCCTCTTCTGGCCTACCTTATACATGTGGCATATACACACAGACACACACACATTGAACTCCAGGTGTGGTGGAGTATACCTTCAATTCCAGTCCTCAGAAGGCAGAAAGGCAGAGATAAAGTCTTGGGTTCTTTTTTTTGAGACAAGAGTCCCAGCTAACCTGGAATTCACTATGTAGATCAGGCTGTCCTTGAACTCATAGACATCTACCTGCCTCTGCCACCCAAGTGCTGGAATTAAAGGCATGTGCCACCACACCCAGGCTAATAAATAGTTTTATAGTCTGTTTTCTTTCACTTAGCAAGATGTATTTACATCTTCTTCATGGATTTTCATGACTCAATAATTCACTTCTCCAGAACTAAAACATCAACCTATTAAATATTGAACTTGGGGAAGAGAAATGGCTCAGGGGTAAAGAGCACTGGCTGCTCTTGCAGAGAACCTCAGTTTGATTCCCAGCACCCGGAGAAGAGCTAACATTCATCCTTAACTCCAGTTTCAGGGAATCTGACAGCCTCTTCTGGCCTACACAAGCACTGCACTCATGTGGTGCACATACATGCAAAACACTCATACACTTAAAAATAAAAAAAGTCTTTAAAAAATTTACTTCTCTCTTTTTTTAAATTTTTTTTGGTCTTTTTGAGACAGGGTCTCCCCACAGCCCCAGTTGGCCTGGAACTCACTATGTAGACGAGGCAGGCCTTGAACTCACAGAGATCTACCTGCCTCTGCCTCCCAAGTGCTGGGACTACAAGAGTGCGCCACCACACCCAGAAATCCTTTTTAAAATATTTTATTACTTATTTGGTCTTTTTGTTTTGTTTTGTTTTGTTTTTTTAATTTTTAAAAATGATTTATTTAATAACAACAGAGTGTGAAAGTTTTGCCTTCATCTCTTCAAGTACAGCTGTGCATGCAATTCCTACAGAGGCCAGAAGAGGGACTTGGATCCCTGGGAACTAGAGTTGTTAGCTAGGTGCTGGGTTCAATCCCTCCACCCTACCCCCAGGTCCTCTGCAAAGCAACCAGTGTTCTTAACATCTGAGCCATCTCTCCAGCCCCTCTAAGAGTAAACAATTACCAATTATTCTGGTTTCCACAAAACACCCATATGAGTAGATGGAAAAGAAAACATTTTGTAGATAAGGCATAGATCTTTAAACTCTGCAAAGGTTCCTTGTGCTTGAAGGAGTCATTCCCATAGAGCTGCATGCAGGTTAAGAGCTGAAGAAACTAAGATAGGTGTGGTGATAAGGAGGCCGAAGCAGGAGGGCTGTGAGTTCCAGGTCAGCCTTGGTTACATAGTAAGACCCTATCTAAAAGCAAATAAAACACATAGGTGACTCTTACAGTGGAGAATGTGGGTCTCAAAGAGGATCAATCAGTTACATTGACTTGGGGGAAACAGATCCAAGAGATGTTATTGCAGAGACAGCGACCAGGATACATAAGGTCTTCATTCTGCTCCTGGGCCCTCTCCGGACTCCTGCATCTACTCTCCCAGTTTGGGCCTTTCTTTTGTTCCACCTCACTAGGGAATCTAATCTTGCTTCCCACCTTCCTTCCCCTCTCTTTTTTCTCTTTATTTCTGCATATAACTTCTTTGTCAACAGCCTTTTTCCTATTGAGCAATTCAAGAAGTGTATCTGTATTAGTTTATAATGGATGGAGTTCCTTGTTTTTCATTTTGTTACTGGATAAACCAAATATTTCTTGTCTTTTCTCTGTCTGAAGTTAAATTCTTCTGAATTTTTCTAGTAGCTGTTCTTCAAAGACACTGTTACTCTCCTCAAGGCCACAGACCTT